CATACAAAAGTTACTTCGCTCCGTACAGAAGTTACTTCGCTCCATGTAAATTAGTGAAATATTAATTGTCGTGAACTTTTTGTTTTGAAGTTGGAGTTGGACAACACAAATAGCTGAGGTTAAGGTCGTATTCCGAATTTTCAAATAAACAAGTCTTTTAAAGGTCGGCACGTTGTGCTGAAAAAAAGTCTCCCCTTGAATTAACATAAGTTCACACATTACGCGTGGGTACGTGTGGCAAGAAAACAACAATACAGTTTTGTGCAACTACACGAGCAATAAATCAAATACACTTTGAATCAATAAAAAGGTTTTGAGGGTAGTTTATTAAACAATGCGCGTAAAGCAATGGATGGTTTTCAAAGTTTTTCAAATACGATCGCTACAAGTGAATTGCAAACATGTCTAGCCTGCGAAACACTTTGCTCCTGGCCCGAGTGGCGTTTCACGAGAAAACATCAGTCATGCAAATACAATCTTGTTAGCATATATACACTTGAATAATATCATGGAGCGAACTGATTTTTGGTTGGGGTGAAGTGAATGGGGGCGAAATGACCATGGGGCAAAGTGACCTGATACCGTGTTAACTAGTGATAATAGCATGGGTGCGTGTTTCCTGAGAGGTAAGCTGTCCTGTGTCTATCCGACAGGCCTGGGTTGATATTCCCTGGGCTCAAATATTGCACATTCGATATGGCGGCTATGTTTACGTCTGCGATCAAAATTGTTTGTTATTTGCGTCTGGTGTTTGTTCTTTCACAGCGGAATACTCCAAAACATAAAACATAAACAGTTAGATCTGTTTCACTTCAATTACTTCAAATGTTGTGGCTGGATTACGAAATGGTCATGTTCATGTGTTTACATGATCATTACAATCGAAGGCTACAAATGTAAGTCTTGGTCTCGTAATGTACTTTAAAAAACAAGCTTTCTTCTTTCAAGAAATTATTACCTTATGAGCATAAAAATATATTTGTCCAACATAACATAGATGTTTTCATATTGGGGCCAGTTATCTGAAGATCGGGGATGAGCTGTCTGGGACTAATTGTCCAGGGCGTGAGTTGTCCAGATACCCCGTATTTCTCCAGCTTCTTCTAGATCTGGCTGCTTGTCATCTCATCATTTTTTTGCATTTGCTGATCAATGAAAGCTTTTGCTTCCTCAGACAGCTTTTTAGGTCTTCCAGAACGCGGTAAATTTGCCACGGAGCCTGTAATTCGTAGTTTCTTAATGATTCGAGTAACGCTAGCGAGACTAGCACTCAAACCTTCATTCTTCAAGGACTGGGGTGAGACCTTGTTTGTCAAGGACCTTGATTCAAGTTCTTGTATAATCTGATACTTTTGGCATGATCTATTCGAGTGCTTGAAGGCAAATGAACACGAAACCTGTTGTCTGTTCTATGATACCCAAAGCGTTGCTATGGTAGCTATAATAACAAACCCGTGCAGGGACTAGGACTACAGTGTGAAACCTCGTGTGTTATTACACAACGTATATGTCGTTCTCGGCAGCTTCTCGAGCGAGTGTCAACTCTTTGGAATGATACCGCCTGCAAATTTTTCCTTGTTGACTAACAAGGTGAGTTTTAAAGAGAAGTTGCTCGATTTAACACTGAATTTAAATCTGTAAACACGTCCCGACTGTGTTTCAGGTAGGCTCGATTTCTGCCACTCTCTTGAGCTCCTTTCCCGAACAGCGACTGGTAATCGAGCTTATGTTTCAGGCCGTGACAACACAACATCGAGAAGGATGATTCCTATTTACATCACAGCGAACTTTGCATGAAACTGCACGAGTTTTTGCTTGAAATTTCGCTTTGAACTTTCGAGTAGAACGAATAATCGCTCAAAAGTTCGCAGCATATTACTGCACACTGCGAACTATTGCACGAAAGTTCATGCGGATTGAAACAATAGATATCACGAAAATGCTGCGAAATATCGCAAATTGTCGAAGAGATTTCTTTTCAAGCGAAATTTCCTTGAAAAGCCACGAAAAGCGCGAATTTCGCCGAAGTTCGTTTGCATTACTTTTTCACAATACTGTAGTGATAGTGGCAATGATAATAATGGTTTATTCACAAAACATCCACAGAGTAGCTCTTCATTTGTGCAGACCTACATACAATACAACTTAAAATTACACTATAACTACAATTCTAGAAACTGAAAGTGAAACCATCCACAAAATTTTAGAGGGAGAGGAGAAGTATAAGCCAAAGTGTCAACCTGGAAATTTTCTATTTGAGATTGGTTTTTGCTTAAAGAAGCACTCCAGTCTGAGACCATTTTGTGTGCCACATGCAGGGAGTGAAATCCTTGAAGTGACTACATTTTCCAAACAGGAACTACTAATTTGGTAGCTAGTGTTGTGCAAACAGGGGGGGAACTATTTTGCATGATAACAATTACAGTGAAAATCAAATTCAACAGTAATTATTTCTCCAGCACATACAAGTTATGCAATGCTTTTGAGCGGTATATCATGCAATATTCCACAAGTTAGTTGCATTTTCCAAGTATACATGCAAGCCTTTAAGAAAGTGTGCATACCAAGAAAATGCAAGTGACAAGTGGGACATTGCATGGTATACCACATAACTATTTTACACGAGGTCATAGAAAATACAGTGGCCCACACAATCAATGCGACACAGACATGGTGCATGATGGTAAAGTTGGATGTAATACTGTCGAATATACAACGGCTTTCCTGTATTTGGATTGGCTGTATTTTCTATGGCATGGAATAAAATTATTTCAGCTATCCATCTTGGTTATCTGTTTGCATTCAGTACAAATTATTGACCAACATTTCTCCAGCGTACACTTCATGCTGTTTGAATATTATTGTTTGGTTTTAAATAGTACAAAACTGAGTGAGCAAAGAGTGATGCCTATTCAATTGTACTTCAGTGATCTAAAAATTGAAGATGCAAACCACATGCCTCCACAGCTTCAATTGCTAAGTCCATTTCCTCGTCACACACTGAAGACCAGAACTCAATACCTTGAAGAGCAACTTCATCAATATCAGATTTGATTGCAGCAATGGAAATCTACAAGAGGAAAAAAAGGCATTAGTCCATGACAAGTTTGTTTTCACACCTGGGCAGGGTTTTTAAAAAAAAACAGTTAACACCCATCCAGAACTTCATCAATGTTTTAATTGTTTTTCAAATGTTCTGGAAAAATCTTTTTTGGATTTTAGTTGACATCAAAAGTGGAGGACAGAAGATAAAAGCACAAAATCTCAGTGAAAAGTCTTAAATCCTACTTAATAATGTTTTGAACAGCTGGGTTCTGGGTGGAGAGAGGCACTGTGAGAGAAAAGTGTTTTGCCAAAGAACACATCATAATGGGCCAGTGGCAAGAGTTCTTGCCTCAATTGCACCATCGCCATCTTAAAGCTTAGATCAATAGGCCAATTCAAATTTGTAAAATTTTAAATTTTGTGCTGAGGCTTTGGGGAATAAAACAAAAGAAATCCTTTATCCATTCCTTAACCTTGATGTGATTTCTTTCGTTTTATTCTCCCGTAACCTTGGTGCCAAGTTAGAATTTTGATAGATCATAAAAAGCTTATTAGGAATCATCAAGCAGTTAGTTCCAACCTTTATAATGAATAATAAATAAATAAAAACTTTATTACTGTGTCTAAAATGTTTAGCTGAGGGGAAGAGTCCCCTCACTCGACTTACAAATCTTGTGGGATAACAAAAACTAGATTCTCCTCCAAGTTTAGTCTGCTTAGAGGGTAAAAGAGGTTTTAGACAAAACCAACAAATGTCCAATCACAGTTCTGCAAATTGTTGTCAGCCCTCATATTTCCTAGCTGATTGATCCTGCATTACCACATTAACACACTCAAGCCTGGTAGACTTACAGGAAACAGTGCTCTCCCCATGTATTCTTCCATGTGCTGATAATAGAGAGACATTATCTTCACAAGGTTCTGCAAGGCTGAAACTTTGAGCTGTTTACCAAAAGGGAAAAGAAGAAATACTAAGTGCCTATGTTCTGGTTTGGAAGAAAAGATTAAAAATCTGTGAAAGCCATCTGGCTGTATTAAAAGGGTGTTGATATTAAAGGGGCCTTGACAAACAGAGCTTTTTTTCAGGGCTGTCAATAAGGGTTGTAACCCATAACAGCTGCTAAGGCTAAGTACGTTTGATGGGCCCCTAACCGCCTTGATGTTATGGGTGAATTTGATACAAATCACCCAAAAAGAAACAAGTTTGCTATGTATGTGAAGCTCAAGGCTACAGGTGAATCAAAACTTAATGACAGCCCTGTTTTCTCAGTGGAATTTTAGGGTATAGCTGTAATCAAGTCTGAGGTCTGGTCCATAAGATTAAGACTGGGTGCAACAAATTGACAGGAAAATACGAGGATCCATAGTGTAAACCAAGAAAACAAGGTTAATATGTTTATTGTTATTATCACTTGCCCTGAGATAGATAAAGTCTGCATATGAGCCAAGTGGCTTATCAGACCGGAGCTAATCCTGGTTTCAGTAGCACAAAGAGACAAGGAGTAGTTTTACTCCCCCCTGGATGGAATGCAAGTCCATCTCAGGGTTACCCCCAGTATTAAATTTGCCGGTACCCATTTATACACCTGGGTGGAGAAAGCCACTGTGAGAGTAGTGTCTTGCCCAAGAACACAACACAATATCCCCAGCCAGGGGTCAAACCTGGACCACTTGCTCTGGAGTCAAGCGCACTAACCATGAGGCTACTGCCTCCCTCCCGCACCCTGAGAAAGGAAAACATATCAAATCATGTGAGTAGGAAACAGCATCTCGTCACTCACCTGAGTTTCTGTGCTTTGTGTAGCTTCACAAACAACTTGCATAATGAAGTTTCGTTCAGTCTGCAAAATGCAACAATGAGATATGACCAAGTTTAAAAATATATACAATAGGCAGTTGAGGACTGCATGTGGCTACTTTAGATATAAACAATTGGCTGAACCCCTTGTTTTGACAGCAAATAAAATGACTTTCAAGCCAAATTGTTATATTTGAATCAGATCAAAAAGATTTTGAGAAGTTTTTATGTTGTGTGACACAACATACATGTACAGACTCTTTTTTGCCTTCGAGCAACTATCTAGCAGTTTGCATTTATATAGGTACTGGAAAATAAAAATGTTCAAGCCACAGAGCAAGGTAATAATTGGGTGTATAATTCAATCAATTGACCGCTCTGACAGTAGCTTTTAACCAATTCTTTCATGTTTGAGAAGCATTTTTCTTCCGCCGATGTCCATTCCATCTCATTTTCTTTTTTATAATTATTAATTATTATTATAATTATTATAAAAGAAAATAAGATGGAATGGACGTCGGCGGAAGAAAAACGCTTCTCAAGCATGAAAGAATTGGTTAAAAGCTACTGTCAAAGCGGTCAATTGATTGAATTATACACCCA